CACAGCAGTCCCCACTTCCTTCCTGCATGAGGTCTGGCGGGCAGGAAGAACCAAGGAGCAGGAAAAGAGAGCAGAATGTGAGTGGGGACGAGGACCAGCCGCAAGAGGGAACCCAGACCTGGTGCCAGAGCCAGGCAGACCACCAGCAGGGACGGGCGTGCCACAGGGTCCAGATGGAACCAGGAGACCTCAGACAGGCCAGTGGAAGACACCCAGGCCTGGCCTCAGAACAGAGCAAGGAGACCAGGAGAGCCCACCGCAGGGAGCCCGGTGGGCGTGGGGAGGCCAGCACGGAATGGGGCCTGGCAACACCTGTGGAGGCAACAGACAAGAACTTCTCTCAACCACAGAAGACAGCCCTAGATTTAAAACTCCCCAAACCCTGAGACAGAGAAACCAAAGAAAGCCACATCCAGGCACAGCAAAGTCAAGCTTCAGGAAAAGAAAGAGGAAACCTTGAAAAGCAGCCCAAGAAAGAGAGTTGGGGACATGGCAGCGGGAGCCACAGCTGGCCACATCATGGAGAGGCTCTGTAGAGAGCGCCCCAGCTGCAGGCCAGCTCACCCCTCAACTCGAAGCGCAGGAGACTCGGCAGCAGACATAGGGAGGACCACAGGCTGGAGAAGAAGCAATGGAGGCGCCTCAGGGGTGACTGCCTGCAGAAGGGAGCCCTAGGGCAGGGGAGGGGCGCTTGGCTGCTGGAGTCTCCCACTTGTCCAGGGAACAGTGAGACAACTCTGAGGCAGACCATCAGAGTCCAAGATGTCCAGAGCGATGCAGAAGTGTCCAAGGGAAAGGCAGTGGGGACAGAAAGCAGGAGGCCATCTGTCATCAGAACAGAGACTGCAAGCTGGACACTCATGGCATCCTGTGCAGAGGTCTCCTGGCCTGCACTGATGGAAAGACAGTTTGATGGGCAAACAGCAGGCCCAACATAACTGCTTGTTGTTTATCTTTGAAGCCCTGGGGACTGAGCCTGGGGGTGCCCTACCACAGAGCTGCAGCCCTGGGGACTGAGCCTGGGGTGCCCTA